ATTCATTATTTACGAGCATTAATAGGTTTGGGGCGCGCGTGCTTGGGAAGGAGGCGAGGATGCCGCGGGGACCCCAGCGTTCGAGGAAGGGTGCGGACCTGCGGGAAGGTCTGCCGGGCGGGGGGCTCGGACGCGGTCCTTCCCGGGCGCGCACTTAACCTAGCGGGGTGCGGGGGCTGCAGGCCCCACGCCCCGCCCTGCACGGTCCTCGCGGCCGCGTCCCTGACGCAGCCCTGGCCTCATTTATCATCATCTTTGGTCAAGTGGAGTGTGCAAGGAACAGCTGCTTCACTCGGCTGACTTCCGAGGGCGGCTACAGCGGGAATCAGGAAAATGAATGATGGAGGCTGGGGGGCCGCCCCCAGGTCCGGGTGCAGGAGGGAGGGAGCGAGGAGCATCCTGGCTGCCTCTGCCTCATGGCAAGCGCAGCGCCCCCTTCCTCTCCGGGCGCCCACAGCCCCTGCGGTTCGTTGGCTGAGGACAGGAGGGTGTGCCGGAGGTCGCCGTGACCTTGCTGGGGTCAGTGGGCTGGGCTGCGGAGGAGGCGTCGCGGCGTCTTTGGTGGCCCTCTCCGGATTGGCGGAAGGCCGGGGAGACGAGGAGGGGGGAGGGGAGTACCAATGGAAGGTGAAATTTTACCTGCCCCTGAGGGAGTCCTGCGGATTTTCTCCCGGCGACGGCCGCATTCTGCCTTTGTCTTACACGGCCTCAACAGCTGTAGCAGCGGCGGAGAAGCCGCAGACCCCACCCTCCCGCGCGGCTCCCCAGCTAGCTCTCTGTTGCTACCCGCACCTCAGTGTGGGGTCCTTGCCCGCGCCCTACCCCGCCTGGTGTCTATGGGGCGGGGGCTGGTTGCGGGAAGGGTTAATGGCCTAGTCGCAGACCCTAATTGTCAGAGCTAGGCCCCGCTTCGTTCCAATTACCCTAAGTAGAGACTGAATGCGCAATTAACGGAGTCAGCTTGCCAACTGGAAAGCTGTCCCCGCTTTCACATTGAGCGGAATACTCCACCAGCTGACTTGGACGAAGCAATTTCCTCCGCTCTCCCCTTTCTCTCTCCTCCAGCCCCTTCTCTTTTTCTCTCTCCTTAATAATAAAATTATACCAAGCAGTTTGCGGTGTGGCAGGCGGCCAGAAAAGCGTTTCTTTAAACGCCGCCGTCTCACAATTAGGCAGCAAGAGGATTTGACACGCCGAGGCGGCCTGACAGGCGGCTTCCTCCCCTGGGGGCCGGTGCAGGAGGGGCTCCAGTGCCCGGCTCCCCCATATGGAACCGGCACTGGGAGGGGGCCAGGGTTGCACCTCCTGTGCTGTCAGCGTGCTGCAGTGAGAAGCCCTTGGGGCAGGCAGCAGGGGAGGTTCTACCCAGGCTCCAGGAGGCAGCAAGATCTTTCCCTGTTGGGGTATAGAGAAGGAAAGCCATGTTCTGTTTCTGTTTGACAGAGAGGCATCTGGGGCACACAGCTGCTGAGCCTGGTGGACAAGTCACTGACCCTCTCTGGGCTTCCATTGATCTCTACAAGTTTGGGATTGGAATGTTGAGGAAGAATGTGCCCTGTTCCTGGGGGCTGGTTGCTTTCCAATGCCGATACTGTCTTCCGAGGAGATTAAAGACAGCACTGTCTGTCATGAGCCAGAGACCCCTCTGCTGCTGCTGCTGCTGCTGCTGCTGCTGGGAGAGCAGGACCTAGAATTCCCATGGTCACATAAGAAGAGCTGCCATGGAAGCACCAGGGACCAGTACCCCCGAAACAGGGTACATTGACTACTGGCTATAAGCAGCTGAACTCAGAACTGGATCGAGGTAGGCAGTAGCTGCTATAGGAGGCAGCTGCTACTGGAAACCACCTTGCTGTTTGCTGCCTCCCAGCTTCTGGAGGGCAGATCACTTCCTTCACCTTTTTCTTACCCTTCCTGCCCCACAACTTTCGGTGCCTTAGACTACAGGAGCTGTGTACATTCCCCTGGAACCTCAACCCCCTGTCCATCCCCACCTGAACATTTGCTGATGGTCCCAAATTGGCTCCAAGAGCTGGTGGGCGCCAGCACTAAAGACTGTGGAGGAGAGGGTTCAAGCTAAGCCTCACTGCTGCCGCTTCCTCCTTAGCTACTGTTTGTGTCCTGCCCACCCCTCACCCACCCTCTGAAACAGCTTTCTGGACCTCATCCCCTGAGGCTGAAGACTAAATAATATGATAAACACAAAGCCAGGAGTGTCCCTCTATCCCACTTAGTCACAGTATTTATAGGGGCAACTCTGGGGCCAGAGTAGGGCTTTGGAACTTAATGGCAAAATGCAGAAAGCACCTACCTTCAGGCTCTTACCCTTAGGAGGCTGCTCATTGTACTATTAATTATGTAATTACTGCTGTCATGAGCCCCACATGGGAGCCTGGCAGGGGTCCCAGGAGGGGGAAGGGACAGGGCCTCACCTGTCTCCTGTGGAATGTTACCAGGGCCACTCCCTACACCACCTCTACAAACTGGACCGCCTCAGTCCAACCTCTGTAGGTCTTCCGTCCTTGCTGCACCCAGGTCAGTCACCTTTATTTGCCTGGGCCATGCTGCTCCCAAAGCCTGCTCTGGATCCAGAAAACATTATGGGGTGCTCCTTGTTGTATTGAATGCCCAAGTCCTCAGCCCAGCAAGGCCAGAGCTAAACTGCATGGGTGTCAGCTTCATCAGTGTTTGACACCTGGGGCTGATGGTCAAGAGACATCCCACAGAGTCTTCTTAAACTCTGCACTGTTTAAATAACAACAATAAAAACCCTTGAGACTTGGTTGATAGCTTTTTTTTAATCACTCTGTGAGTGTGTGTGTGTGTATGTGTAAAAGAGCAACTTTCTGGAGCTGGTTCTATTGTGGGTTCCATGGATTGAACTTGATCGCTAGGCCATTTTATCTAGCCAGCTCTGGTAACATTTTTGAAAATGAAAGCCATCCCATACTGTACACTCCTGACTTGTGACCTGTTACAGAAAGAAAAGACTGCTCTGTCCCGTCCCCCACACCCTTCTGCCCCCGTACTTGAGACTGAGATGTCCAGCCCGTCTCCAACCCCCTACCTAATACTTTGCTCCAAAGTGGATCCTGTCCATCCTTGATAAAGGGGCTGTGGCCTTAGCCCATGCCCTCCAGTCCCCATCCAACTATACCGTGTCTCGTAACCTGACCACTTACTCTGGATTGTTTTCCCAGGGTTAATGTGACATTTAAAACATGATTCATTTAATACATGTTTATTATTCTGGGCAATGGGAACATGGTTAGGAATAAAATAGGCAAAATCCCTGCTCCTATGGAACTTTTCACTCGAGAGGAGATTAGTAATAAGTTAAGGCAAAAAGGTAAGTGCTTTGACAAAGCAGAAGGAGGCACATGGATCTCATGTAAAATACAGTGATCACACAGAAGCCAAGGTGTGGAGCTAGGCAAAGAGGTGGGTAGATCCCAGGGAATGGTTTTCCTAGCAAAGGAGACAACCAGCACAAAGGCCCTGAGGACCACGGAGGTGAAAGGCTTGCCCAAGATCAGCACCCTGCTGGCATTTAGACAGCCTGCTGCTGACTTGGTACTTGTTTGCTGCTGCTTCCACAAGTTATGTCCTGGTCCTTCTGGGAAGGAGAGAGGACAAGGCTGTGCTGATCAGTGTCAGCCTTCTGTAAGGATGGGTACTACTGGGGCTCAGCATGTGGACCAACCCAAGCAGCCCGGGAACCCCCTGGCTACTCAGGGTGCTGGATGTAAAAGCTCAGAATGTCTGGTCTTCAAACCTTGACTGGGTAGCATCAGGGAGGTCCGGCTAGCCTGAACTGAACCTGATAGGAAACACCCTGTCCTCTTCATGGTTGCTTGCCATGCCTATCCTTTCTCTCCTTGTTTAGATGGGTGGTGGTGGTGGCTTTTGTTGAGCGGTGGATAAAGTGACCCAAAACGAAGTATCCACAGGAGACTGCCGAAGAAGCAGTGGCGGCTAATGTGGCTACAGACAGGACAGCCCTGATGGTGGGCACAGGGCCAGCTGGACTATGGGCCCTGCTGCTGAGGGCATCCAACCTGTGACCCATTGCATCCTAGTAACTCTGTAGGGTTGTTTCTAAGAAAGAACTGGTACAGGGCCTGTGGGCATGGTGTTAAGAGGCCACTCCAGTGCCTTAGCATAGCAGGGAAGATGAGTTGGAAGGGGTCTTCTCAAACATCCTCCAGAGAACTCAGATTCAGCTTCTCATGAGGTCCCCAGCATCTTTGGGGCCTTTTAAAGTTTTGTTGTGTTGTCCAGACTGGCTTGTTAAAGTGCTGGTAATTGTACTGAAGGCCTCGTGAAAGCTAGTCAAATACTCGACCACTGAGCTCTCCACTTAACCTGCCTACTGGTCCTGAACTTGAGATCTGATCCTCTTGCTTCAGGTTCCAGAGACTGGGACCACAGGTTTATACCCCTTCACCCTGCTGATTTGCTGTTTCAGTGATGGGACTGCTGACTACATGCTGGGCAAGCATTGTAAAAACCCTGAACTACACCCCGGTCTCTTCCTTCTCTGCCTGCCTCTCGCTACTCAGGGCCTCAGACCTTTTCTGGAGAACCTGTAAAGAAGGTGTTGTCAGCATGGGGTCTTGAGAGGCTGTGCTTTGGGGTGGAGCTGCCTTACCTTCACTAGCATCCCTGCCTGCCCTAAGCAGGTCCATCAGTCCCCTCCTCAAGCTGGACCCCAGTCCAAGGAGTCTAGCCTAGTCTCAAGGCCTGTGGTGTCTGGCTGCTCTTGTGGCTTCCATGGAGATTCATCCCTGCCTCCCCAGCAAGCCCAGCCATAAGACCTCCTTAGGCTTAGCCAGGCCACATATTTACTATTATTTTGTGTGTGTCCATGGGTGACGGCACCCTTACGGAAGCATGTGGAAGAGGACCTCCGTTTTTTTTTCTTCTGCCACTTTTCACATTGTTTCCTTAAGACAGTCTCGCTGTCTTGCTGGCTAGCCAGCAAGAAGAGACTATACCTATTTCTCCTCTCTCCTCCCCTCCCCCTTGCTACTGGGATTACATGTTCACACAGCAGTGCCCAGCTTTTTGCGTGGGGGCTGGGGTTTCAAGCTCATGTCCTCATGCTTGTAGAGCAAGCTCTCCACTTTAGCCATCTCCCAACCGCCAAGTCTTAGATTTATTATTCATCCGTAACAGATAGGGAGAACCTAAGGGTCCCACCCTAGCCATTGCTCCCTGACCATATTCTGTTCCTTCCCTGCCTCCTCTCAACTCTAGGTGGGTGGGAGGGCCAGTGACAGGGGGCTGCCAGTGAAGCGGGGACATGCCTCTTGCCACCCCTCCCCCACTCTTCCTCAAGATAACAATTTCCAGGGCCAACTGGGAGCAGCTCGCAGCTCTGGCCCTCAGCATAACCATCTCACTGATGGGGCCAACCCTCAGACCTGAAGAGGCGCTATACTAATGACTAGTCCCTGGAAGTTGGCCAGATTCTATAGGTAGGTTTGCCTGCTGGGAGTTGGTATAGCGGCTCCGTGGTAGACCTTGCTTACCAAGCTAATGGTCCTGGGTTTCTCCCTAGTACCAGGAAAACAGTCAGGCTTGTAGGTAGGCTCTGACTTGCTGTAGAGGGGCGTGCAGGCAGGTAGGTACGTGTGCCTGTATTCACCTGGCCTGAACTCAGCTCCCCTTTCTTGCTACACTGTACCAAGACACTCTCTTTCAGGGTGGGGATTTCTGGGATGGCATCCAAGAGAGGGGTTTGATCTCCGCCTCAGCTAGGGTCACAAGCAAGTCCTTAACTCCTCTGAATGTCACCTTTGGTTATAGAAGGGACAAGATAAAGCACTGAGGTGTGCTTACTAGCCAGCTTCCCCTCTTAGAGTCTTTGGGAGAAGGGCAATGCCCAAGGCTCAACCTTGCCATGCTTTCGTGGCTGTGTTGATGGCTTGTGTCTGTGGCTGTTCTGTCAAAGGAAGTCATCCAAACTGCAAGCACTGTCCAGTTCCACAAAGGTCTTGAGATTTAGCCTTGCTGGGCTTTTCCGTCCAGTGTCTGGGAGTATCCAGTGGTTACAAGGTTGGAGTATTGATGCCACTAGGGCCAAAGAGAGTTGCTCTGGATTCCCATCAGCTGCCTGCCAGATTCTGCCAGGGTGGCTGAGAGGAAGTCTTGGCAAGTTCCCAGGAGAAGGGGGAGGGGAAGAAGCTGGGGCAAAATTCCCTTTCCCACCCTTTACCGCTGCTAGTCCAGCCACCTCAGCTGCTTCTCTCCTCCGTGTTGAAAGGTCACCATTACCTGTGGGGGAATTCATTCTTCAACCTGCTCTCTGAGTCTGCCTCCCTAGTCCTTTGCTACCCCCCTCCTGTCTCTTCCATGTCCTTTCCTGGTGCTCTTGAAAAATAATCATAATCACAATAATTAATAACAACAGAGCCCACTGCAAGCCTGAGGTGGCTCTTAAAGAGGCAGCACCCTATTTTCTCCTGGCAGAGCCAGCAAGACCTCTGCAACTCCAAGCTGGCAGCTAGGATGCCACCATGCCTGAGCCTTTGTTTCTGTCCCTCCCTCTGCCAGGGTTGGAGGATGGTGCTGGGGCACATGTTTCTGCCTGTGTCCTCCAACAAGCACTGGGCCTCTGGGATTTTAATTGAACTGTCTTTTCTTAGAGATAGATGCCTTCCACATCCAGCTGCCTGTGTGCATCAGGAAGCCAGCCTGTAATCCTGTGTGGGGAAATTAAAAGGCGCAGCAGCTGGACTGATTAGATGGGGCAGGGACACTGTTCATGACTCCCCCTCTTTTTAGATAATGTCTCTGGTAATGCATTTTGGGAATGTGGCAATGGGGGTAGGGGGAGAAGTGTGTGTGTGTGTGTGTACACACACACACACACACACACACACACACACACACACAAAACTCCAGCCGTAGAAATGTTAATGATATCTACAGGACACTCAGCAGGAAATGAGAGTGATCTGGGACTAATAAAAGCCGAAATGTAATTTGTGCAGATATATGAGGGAGGCAGATGTAGCCTTCAGAGCAGTCCGGGTTTGTACGTATAAACACAGACCCAGGGAGGACAGGAAACTGTCATTTCGTGTACTGATCTTGGAAGTGGCCCACCAGCAGTCCTGAGCAGGGGTGACATCCACCTACATCCAGATTGTGCTCTGCTCTTGGAAGGTGGGGGCAAGAGGCACCAGGCCTCCCACCTGGAGAGGTGCTGCCTCCAGCCCCTCTGGATTAGCACAGCCTGGGGTATTTCATCTAAACCACAAGGACTGGAGTGAAGTAGATCCAAAGGGTAGGTGGGCACTGTCAGTGAGGGGTTAGAGAGGGATGTAATGAGCTGGGGGTGGGGCAGGCAGGGCCTTTACCAATCTGGGGAGGAGGAAAGTTGCTTAGGGGCAGCTGGGTCTAGTCTGCTGCTGTGAGCTTTGGGGTTATCTGGATGCCTGGGCATGCCCTGTTCTACTGGCTAGAGCTCCTCTTTTGCTCCCTTCCCTGGGTCAATTCTAAGACAAAGGAAGGAAGGCACCTTTGTGGGATGGAGACTAAGGAGGCTGAACCTCCCTGTCAGTGCAAGCTCTCCATACCCACCTCTCACACCTAGTCTTTGCTGTGAGGCACCTACATTTCCACCCCCACGGTTACTTCTCAACAAACAGACAAACAAACAACCCCCCACCCCGAAACCTTTGTGGTCTAAGGCAGGCCACACCTCCCTCTTAGTATGTTTTGGAACAAGAGCTGGAAAACCCCAGTTCCCTCCTAGGGGCTTGAGCTGCTTAGTCCCAGAGAACTTGTACCTCCTGCCTTCAGCCTGTATGGTGGCTTGGAAACCCTGACGTGTGGGGATATTCCCCTCTTCCACCATTGAGGATTTTCTGAGGTAACCAGTCAGTTGAAGGAAACTGAGGTACACAAACTTGTGCTGTGACTATGCACAAAAGCCCCTGCCCTCCTGGTAGATCAGACATTCCTGCCCCTGTCCCCCAGATCGTGGCTGCCTCCACCAGCCCTGGCCTGCGAAAGTTAGCAGCTCAGCAGGAGGGGACAGAGGCTCTCCAGTGGCCAGGGCACTGCGTCTTTGTCCCCTCTTAGTATGCATCCCCACACTCTGGACCACATAATCTGTTTATGCACCTATGGTACCGAGAACAGGAGGCAGGTGCTGCCATCCTTCACTCCCAGGAGTCAGAGGAGGGGGGCTTTGTGTGGACAGTTGGCTTACCAGCCCCCAGTCAACATCTGCCAGAAGGGACGGAGTCCAGATGGCACTGCAGGGGAGGTGTGTGTGAGCGTGCATGTACATGTGCCTGATAGGTCCTTTGTACATGTATGGATCCCTGTATGTGCCGTCACAGCAGCCTGCAAGCTCTCCCCGACTAGGGAGGGGTCCTCATGGGTACCTAGTGTGGTTGGGTCATGCTTAAGTAGGGCTACACAAAGACTGAGATTATGGGATCCAGTAGGGCCCCAGGGAACAGTGGAATCGCTCTGCTGACTTGAACTGTCTATGAGGACTGGGCGTGGTGGTACAGATAAGCTGGCAGAGGGGAGGAGCTGGCAAGAGTGGCCTGGTGTAGCCATTCCTGTGACTTGCTGAGTGCAGCCTGTTTTGGACTGTGCACGTCAGTGGCAGTTCTCCTTAGCATGGCTCAGCTGCGGGCATTTCAGAGCACATCTCCCAGACCCAGAGGTTGTCAGTGTGTGCACAGCTGGTGGGAAGGTGGCCAGGAGGGGTGCTGGCTGAGGCAGAGTGGAATATGGCCGTCTGAACTGTTTTTTCTCTCCACCACCCCTTCTCTTCACAGATAACCGGCCCGAGTCATGCAGTCTTTTCGAGAAAGGTGTGGTTTCCATGGCAAACAGCAAAACTATCCACAAACCTCACAGGAGACATCGCGCCTGGAGAACTACAGGCAGCCAGGTCAGGCTGGGCTCAGCTGTGATCGTCAGCGGCTGCTGGCCAAGGACTATTACAACCCACAGCCCTATACAGGCTATGAGGGTGGCGCTGGCACACCTTCTGGCACAGTGGCCACGGCAACTGCAGACAAGTACCACCGAGGCAGCAAGTCCCTACAGGGGAGGCCGGCTTTCCCCACCTATGTTCAAGACAGCAGCCCCTACCCAGGGCGTTACTCTGGCGAGGAGGGTCTTCAGACCTGGGGGGGCCCACAGCCACCACCTCCCCAGCCTCAGCCCCTGCCAGGGGCAGTGAGCAAATATGAGGAGAACTTGATGAAGAAGACGGTGGTGCCCCCAAACAGGCAGTACCCTGAGCAGGGCCCCCAACTTTCCTTCCGGACTCACAGCCTGCATGCCCCCCCACCACAGCCTCAGCAGCCCCTGGCTTACCCCAAACTCCAAAGGCAGAAACCACAGAATGACCTTGCTTCCGCTCTGCCTTTCCCCCAGAGCAGCCACTTTCCCCAGCATTCTCAGTCCTTCCCTACCTCCTCCAGCTACGCCCCAGCAGTGCAGGGTGGCGGCCAGGGGGCCCACTCCTATAAGAGTTGCACAGCGCCATCTGCCCAGCCACATGACAGGCCGATGAGTGCCAACGCAAGCCTGGCCCCGGGGCAACGGGTCCAGAATCTTCACGCTTACCAATCGGGCCGCCTTGGCTATGAGCAGCAGCAGCAAGCACTCCAGGGCCGGCACCACACCCAGGAAACTCTCCACTACCAGAACCTCACCAAGTACCAACACTATGGACAGCAAGGCCAGGGCTACTGTCCGCCGGACACAGCTGTCAGGACTCCCGAGCAGTATTACCAGACCTTCAGCCCCAGCTCCAGCCACTCCCCTGCACGGTCTGTGGGTCGCTCCCCTTCCTATAGCTCCACCCCGTCACCACTGATGCCCAACCTGGAGAACTTCCCCTACAGCCAGCAGCCGCTTAGTACTGGGGCCTTCCCCACAGGCATCACAGACCACAGCCACTTTATGCCCCTGCTCAACCCATCCCCCACAGATGCTGCCAGTTCTGTGGACCCCCAGGTCAGCAACTGCAAGCCCCTGCAAAAGGAGAAGCTCCCTGACAACTTACTGTCGGACCTCAGCCTGCAGAGCCTCACGGCACTCACCTCACAGGTGGAAAACATCTCCAATACCGTGCAGCAGCTCTTGCTGTCCAAAGCTGCCATGCCACAGAAGAAAGGGGTCAAGAGCCTTGTGGCCAGGACTCCGGAGCAGCACAAGAGCCAGCACTGTAGCCCCGAGGGCAGTGGCTACTCAGCTGAGCCAGCAGGCACACCGCTGTCTGAACCGCCAAGTAGCACACCACAGTCCACGCATGCTGAGCCACAGGATGCCGACTACCTGAGTGGCTCCGAGGACCCTCTAGAGCGCAGCTTCCTCTACTGCAGCCAGGCCCGTGGCAGTCCTGCCAGGGTCAACAACAACTCCAAGGCTAAGCCTGAGTCCGTGTCTACCTGTTCTGTGACCTCACCTGACGACATGTCCACCAAGTCTGATGACTCTTTCCAGAGCCTGCATAGCACTCTGCCACTGGACAGCTTCTCCAAATTCGTGGCAGGCGAGCGGGACTGCCCACGGCTGCTGCTCAGTGCCCTGGCCCAGGAAGATCTGGCCTCTGAGATCCTGGGGCTTCAGGAAGCCATTGTTGAGAAGGCTGACAAGGCCTGGGCTGAGGCTTCCAGCCTGCCCAAGGACAATGGCAAGCCGCCCTTCCCACTGGAGAACCACAGCACCTGCCTGGACGCTGTGGCCAAGACGCCATGGTCCCAGCCCGGGGAACCAGAAGCCCTACCTGAACCCTTGCAGCTGGACAAGGGTGGTAGCACCAAGGACTTCAGCCCGGGGCTCTTTGAAGACCCTTCTGTGGCCTTTGCCACCACTGACCCGAAGAAGACAACCAGTCCCCTGTCCTTTGGCACCAAGCCTTTGCTCGGAGCTGCCACTCCAGACCCCACCGCAGCAGCCTTCGACTGCTTTCCAGACACAACTGCTGCCAGCTCGGTGGACAGTGCCAACCCTTTCGCCTGGCCAGAGGAGAACTTGGGTGATGCTTGTCCTCGTTGGGGCCTCCACCCTGGTGAGCTCACCAAGGGCTTGGAGCAGGGTTCAAAAGGCTCAGACAGTGTGGGCAAAGCAGATACACACGAGACCTCTGCCTGCTTGGGCTTCCAGGAAGAGCATGCCATTGGGAAGCCAGCAGCTTCACTGTCTGGGGACTTCAAGCAGCAGGAGGCAGACGGGGTGAAGGAGGAAGTGGGTGGGTTGTTGCAGTGCCCTGAGGTGGGCAAAGCTGACCAGTGGCTGGAGGACAGCCGGCATTGCTGTTCCTCCACTGACTTTGGGGACCTGCCATTGTTGCCACCCCCTGGCAGGAAGGAGGACCTAGAGGCTGAAGAGGAGTATTCCTCCCTGTGTGAACTGTTGGGTAGCCCTGAGCAGAGGCCCAGCCTGCAGGACCCATTGTCCCCCAAGGCCCCACTGATTTGCACCAAGGAGGAAGCAGAGGAGGTGCTGGACCCCAAGGCTGACTGGGCCTCCCCATGTCACCTCTCCGGTGAGCCTGCTGTCCTCCTGGGCCCCTCTGTGGGTGCTGAATCAAAGGTCCAGAGCTGGTTTGAGTCTTCACTGTCACATATGAAGCCAGGAGAAGATGGGCCAGAGATAGAGAGAGCCCCAGGTAGTTCTGCCACTTCAGAAGGCTCCCTGGCCCCAAAGCCTAACAAACCTGCTGTGCCTGAGGTGCCCATTGCTAAGAAAGAGCCTGTGCCGCGGGGTAAAAGTTTACGGAGCCGTCGGGTGCACCGGGGGCTGCCTGAGGCTGAAGACTCTCCGTGCAGGGTACCAGCACTTCCCAAAGACCTCTTGCTCCCAGAGTCCTGCACAGGACCCCCCCAGGGACAGGCAGAAGGGGCTGGAGCTCCAGGCCGGGGGCTGTCAGAAGGGCTCCCCAGAATGTGTACTCGCTCTCTTACAGCTCTGAGTGAGCCCCAAACTCCTGGACCTCCAGGCCTGACCACTACCCCCACGCCTCCTGACAAACTGGGAGGCAAACAGCGAGCAGCCTTCAAGTCTGGCAAGCGGGTAGGAAAACCATCACCCAAGGCTGCATCCAGTCCCAGCAACCCTGCTGCCCTGCCTGTTGCCTCAGACAGCAGCCCCATGGGCTCCAAGACCAAGGAGCCAGACTCTCCCAGCATCCCTGGCAAGGACCAGCGCTCCATGGTTCTCCGGTCTCGCACCAAACCCCAACAGGTCTTCCATGTCAAACGACGGCGGCCCTCAGAGAGCCGGAACCCAGACTGTCGTGCCACCAAGAAGCTCCCTGCCAACAACCACTTACCCACTGCATTCAAGGTCTCCAGTGGGCCCCAGAAGGAAGGCCGGGTGAACCAGCGGGTCAAAGTACCCAGGCCTGGTGGACCAGGGAGCAAGCTTTCAGATCGGCCTCTCCACACGCTCAAAAGGAAGTCAGCCTTCATGGCTCCTGTCCCCACCAAAAAGCGAAGCCTCATCCTTCGAAGCAGCAATGGAAGTGGAGTAGATGGGAGGGAGGAGAGGGCCGAGGCCTCTCCTGGCCTCTTGAGGAGGATGGCCTCACCCCAGAGAGCCAGGCCCAGAGGCAGTGGGGAGCCACCCCCGCCCCCACCACTGGAGCCTCCTGCTGCAAGCATGGAGCTGGCTACAGCATCATCCCTGCCCAGTGCTGTGAGGACCAAGGTGCTGCCACCCCGAAAGGGCCGTGGCCTCAAGCTGGAGGCCATAGTACAGAAGATCACCTCACCTGGTCTCAAGAAACTTGCATGCAGAGTGGCAGGGGCTCCTCCTGGGACTCCCCGGAGCCCAGCCTTACCTGAGAAACGTTCAGGGGGGAGTCCAGCTGGGGCAGAAGAGGGTCTAGGAGGGATGGGCCCTGGACAGATGCTGCCAGCAGCTTCAGGGGCCGAGCCATCGTGTAGAAATTCAGCCAGCAGGTCCCTAAAAGGCAAACTCCTGAATAGTAAGAAACTGTCCACTGCTGCTGACTGTCCCAAAGCTGAGGCCTTCATGTCCCCGGAGACCCTGCCGTCCCTAGGCACTGCCCGGGCACCGAAGAAAAGGAGCCGGAAAGGCAGGACCGGGGCCTTGGGACCCTCTAAAGGGCCGTTGGAGAAGCGGCCCTGTCCTGGCCAAACTCTGACCCTTGCTACCCATGACAGGGCCAGCAGCACTCAGGGTGGAGGTGAGGACAGCTCCAGTGGAGGAGGCAAGAAGCCAAAGACAGAGGAGCTGGGACCGACCTCCCAGCCCCCTGAAGGCCGGCCCTGCCAGCCCCAGACAAGGGCACAGAAGCAGCCAGGCCAAGCCAGCTACAGTAGCTACTCAAAACGGAAGCGCCTTAGCCGTGGCCGGGCTAAGACCACCCATGCTTCACCCTGTAAGGGGCGTGCCACTCGGAGACGGCAGCAACAGGTACTGCCCCTGGATCCTGCGGAGCCTGAAATCCGACTCAAATACATTTCTTCTTGCAAGCGGCTGAGGGCAGACAGCCGCACCCCAGCCTTCTCACCCTTTGTGCGGGTGGAGAAGAGAGATGCTTACACCACCATATGCACTGTGGTCAACTCCCCGGGGGATGAGCCCAAGCCTCACTGGAAGCCCTCCTCCTCTGTTGCCTCCTCCTCCTCTGCCTCTTCCTCCTCCTCCTCAGAACCAGCTGGGGCCTCTCTGACCACATTCCCCGGAGGCTCTGTGCTGCAGCCGAGGCCCTCCCTGCCCCTCTCCTCCACCATGCATCTGGGGCCTGTCGTGTCCAAGGCCCTAAGTACCTCTTGCCTTGTCTGCTGCCTCTGCCAAAACCCGGCCAACTTCAAGGACCTTGGGGACCTCTGTGGCCCTTACTACCCTGAACACTGCCTCCCAAAAAAGAAACCAAAACTCAAGGAGAAGGTGCGGCTGGAGGGCACCGTTGAGGAGGCCTCTCTGCCTCCCGAGAGAACAGTCAAAGGGCTGGAATGTGCAGCCGGCACCGCTGCTGCCACGGCTACCGCTCCCACCACTACCGTCACCACCACCACAACCCTGGGGAGGCTGCCCAGGCCTGATGGCCCCCCTGACCCTGCCAAGCAGGGCTCCCTGCGCTCCAGTGCCCGGGGCCTGTCGCGGCGGCTGCAGAGTTGCTATTGCTGTGATGGGCAGGGGGACGGGGGTGAGGAGGTGGCCCCAGCTGACAAGAGCCGCAAACATGAGTGCAGCAAAGAGGCCCCTGCAGAACTCGGTGGGGACACCCAGGAACACTGGGTACATGAGGCCTGTGCTGTGTGGACCAGCGGGGTGTACCTGGTGGCCGGGAAGCTCTTTGGGCTCCAAGAGGCCATGAAGGTAGCTGTGGACATGGTAAGAAGCTAGCGAGCTGGGGCAGGGGCTGGGGTCTTGAAGTACTGACAGCTGACAGAGCTATCTTCGGAGCTTTCCTTTGGGTCACTTGTGCCTGTAGCCAGCGAGTAGCCAGAGTACAGGCTCCAGGCCCTGGAGTCTCTTGGAAGTGTGGAGGCAAGTTGAAGTATTCCTGGGGCTACAGCAGGACATGTTTATCCACCCTTGCCCAGGGTACGTGTCTCAGTTCTATGTCACTGGCCAGTCTTACACACACACTACCCAAAACTGGAGCTGTTGGGCCTGGCAAGACAAAACCCTTCCTGAGTTGAATGCCGAGATGGCCTGGTCTCCCCTGAACTGGGACCTTTGGGATAGCTCCTAAACAATATGTCCTGGGCAGCCCTGGGTTACCTGGCCACAGAAGCCCCGAAGCTCACACTTCCTTCCATTCAGAGAATGCTGGACTGCCACAGGCCCTGTGGGGCAAGGTCACAGGACCTAGCTCATTAACACATTGATCTTGAGGACTCTATTTGGGATCACAGGTCTGGGATGGAGAAAACATTCTGAGCTGTGACTGTAGCTAAGTTTCCTCAGACCAAGGGGACTGACAGAGCCACTTCCTGTCTCTGCAGACCATGCCTTGGGCAGCAAGGCTCCCAAGCGCACTCATCCACACTGACCTTACTGGGTGTCCATACCAGCTCTGGTGATTCCCTCCTCTTCCGCCCACTCAGAAGACCCTGACTATCCAGTGGCCTCCCTCCTTCCCACACTTTACCGTACTAGTTCCTCAGAAACACTCTGTCCAGGCCCCATCCTTGACCTTGGGGACCACTGTGGATGCCTCCTCTGGCTCCAGGCTCCAGGCATCTCCTGCCCATGGTGATGGCTAATACACTCTCTGGGTCCTGTTGTCTGTCCACCTTGCTGCAAAGGGCCTGAGACACAGACAGCACAGCTTTCAGGACCTCAGCCAGTTCATGGAGCATTCAGGCACCGAACCCCTGTCTTCCTGGGCTCCATAGTGACTTAATCTTCATAGCTACCTCGAAATAGTCTTGTCTCCCCCTTCATCAGAAAATAACAAGACTGGAGCCCCTGTCCAGTGGATACCTGATACCCTGCATTATCCAGGTCTCCTTTGAGGGTCAGGACTGGAACCCAGTCATCACATGTCCCTGACCCCCAGCACTGGGCTCATAATCAAGGGGAAACATTGGTGAGTGCAGGGAAAGGCCCCTGCTCCCTGACCTGGCCCTCTGCTGCTGGCCTCTTGTTACACACACACGCATGCACACACAGCATCATGTCGAGCTGAGGAGGGTGTATGAGTCACAGTTGGAGCTGGAGCCACTCACTGCTGAGCCCTGTTGATGCTACCACACCCTGGCGTGACAGGGAAGGCCAGGAGAGGCCCTCATTGAACAAGGTTGGCTACATATTGAAGGCTTGTCCCTGCCAGAGGTGGGCCTGCCTGGCCTATGACTGGCAGCTGGGATCTGCTGCCAGGCTGTACCCCACAGCCACAGGCTCATATGGCATGGCCTCGCAGAATACACTGAAGGATAGATCAGGGTTTCCCAGGTTCCATGAAGAGTGACCTGCAGGGTCATAGTTCAGCTCATTGTTTTCTGCCCCAGGAGCTTGTTGGCACTGCTCTCTCCAGGAACCAGGAAGACCCTGGTTCAAATCTTACTTCAGGAAGCCTCATGTCCTCTGCAAACCCCAGAATGCGAGCTCCCACCCAGGACACTGGCCTTTTCCACTATCTGTCAGCCACCATGCTCACCTTCCAGGTCTTAAGCCACCCACACTGTCATCGTACACCTCATTTCCTGGCTAGAGAGGAGAATTGCAATTCAGAGACCTGGGGCTGATTCACATCCTCAGGAGACTGGTGTGGGTACCTAGGCCAAGGAATGGGGCACAGTTGATCAGCTATGCCCCCTCTAAGGATCCAGGGGCCAAGAACAAGGTCATCACCCCAGAGTGCCTCAGTCTCTTCTTAACTGCAATGAACAGTTCTGCCTTGGAGCTGCTTGAGACTGTCTGCCACAAGGGGGCCATGGTTACCCTCAAACTTCGCAGTACTCGGGAGGGCCACTGTGAGACTTGGGGCTATCTGCCACGGGGAGGAGGGCATAGTTACCCTCAAATTGCTCAGTGTTCCCAAGGGCCAGAGTGAGAGAGATTTGATCTACTTTGTGGTTCCCACTGTGTTTCATCTTCCTTCAGTGGCTTAAGAGGTGGGCCTAGGACTCTAGGTTCTTGGGAGCCCCATCCGGAAGCCCTGCATGGATGTCTTCCTCTCTTGCTGACCCATCCCCAGTGGCCACTCCACCTGCAGAGTTTGAACAGTATGCACCCTGCCAGGACAGCCTCAATCTCCTGGGCTGTGGTTCTGGGTCCCCCGGCCCTATGGACCATATGGTTTGATCCCAGCTCTGTTGTCTGGCCTAGAAAAGACAGTGCTGCACTGGGACTCCATGCCTGGTGCCAGGCGCACTGTCACTGAGTCTCTGAGCCTTCTCTGTCCTCTGCTCTACTCCTACCTCACTACCCACCGTGATGACAGGCTTGGGAGCAGGGGTGGCCTGGCCCGGGACCCATCTGGATCCCTCCCTATGCCCAGTTTTGTCGTCACTCCCCTGTCAGCCATCTCGTCATTGTCCTGTCCTAGCCCTGTCACAACCTCCGAGCCCAACAGAAATCATGGAGACCAGTGTGGGGTTGGCCAGGGTCTGGGGGCATCAGAGTCACATGAGATCAGCCTCTTGGGGGTCATATGTCAACTCTTCCCCTCGGCCCATTTATCTGCATCTGCTGTAATTGGCTAGAAAGAGCACCCCTCTCTCACATGGAGGGGGCCTGTCTCACCATCTGGAAAGTGGGGGTCAGTTGAAAGCCATTGCCCTTGCCGCTGCTAGCAGGAGCCAGTGAATGAGGACACCCCAGAGGCAGCATGGAGCAGCACCTGACAGATGGCGACTGTCAGCCATGGCCACTGTGGTGACTAACACCACTAGCCCAGGAGGGTCCCTCACCCAGTGTGTCAGCCCAGGAGGTGGCAGAGGGCCAGCCCTCGAGGGCATTTCCTCCCTGCGGTATCTCAGTACCGCTGTGGCAGAAGTGCCGTGGGGCGTGTCTGGAACACACAAGGACTCACTCGCCTTCCTTTCTCTTCAGCCATGTTCCAGCTGCCATGAAGCCGGGGCGACCATCTCGTGCTCCTATAAAGGATGTATCCACACCTACCACTACCCTTGTGCCAATGACACAGGTAAGAGCTGGCCTGGGTACAGCTGTTCCAACTCAGACCCCATGTGACTCCTGGGGCCCTCATCTGCTCCAGCAACTCTTTATCTCATTGTTCCCTTGGCCTCTGCCTGCACTTCAGTTCCAGAAATGTGGAGGTGGGTCGGTCCCTACCTGCCTGAGGGAGGGGTTATAGGCCAACTAAAACCAAATGAGCTGAGAGTGTGTCTCAGTGATAGGTTTCAGTTGTGAGTGACTGTCCTGTGCCCTTACACAGAATGTGCCTATACCTGAGTGCCAGAGACACCAGCCCCAGCACTTGATACAGAAAAATAAATAAAACTAGGGGCATTTAGGTCAAGGTGGAGACAGACCAGCTGGCGTGTTGGCTGTTAGGACTCGCCGTGCAGGTCTGTGGGGATGTGACAGGCCCCTGTGACCTGCCCTCATTGTCTGTGGGCCATAGGACCAGGAAGCCCAGCCCTAACCCATCAAGTGGGGACCTTGAAGCCCTCGTCCATAAAGAAAGCGTCCAGTCCCTGGCAGTAACGGCACTTCTTCCTGTGTGCATCACAGTGTTTGTACGTAGGCCTTATGTGCAGAGTGGGCTGTGAGCAGTTGCTCACTGCAGCAGCAGCAGGGCTGTCCAGAAAGCAGTCTCCTGGGTCAGAGGCTGTCACACCCTCCATCCCTTTCAGCCCGACCTGGTCGTTTGTCCTAGTCTGAGCAGTGGAACCCCATCAGTGCTACTGCCCACTGGATCCTGGGCCAACATCAGCCCCAGCCAAGCTACCCTGGTAGCCACACAGGGTCTCAGATGCCAGCAGTCCTGGTGGTGCAGAGCTGCGAACATTCAATAGAAAAAGGATGTTAGTGGGCACAGGAGTGGCTCCTCATTGACTCTACCTCCATCACAAGGTGACCTGTATTGGAATGTGGACCCAACCTAAGAGCAAGGCCTCATTCCCTCTGCCACCTGTCTGAACCAAGGTCATCATGTGGCAATCTGCCCAGTCCCTAGCTACAAGCTTGTCATGTGCTGTCTCACCCACAGCCACCCAGAGGCTGGGGCTTTCTGTCGTTCTCTGCTCTCTTCTATGCCAGGCTTGTCCAGCCTCCCCAGGGGCTCAGCCATGTTTCTGCCACAGTAATAGATAGGTTCTGTCGCTGTGATAAAATGCCCTGACCTAAGCAGCCTAGGGAAGAAAAGATTTGCTTTGGTTCAGTCGCAGGTCACAAGCCAGCAAAGTAGGGAAGTCAGAGCAGCGGGCTCTTGAGCTGGTCACACTGCGTAGGTCAAGGAGCAGAGCTGGGTGTGGTGGCGCACACCTTAAATCCCACCTTTGGGAGACTTTGTGGCTCTCTTGTGAGATCAAGGCCAGCAGGTCTACTTAGTTCAGGACAGCCAGGGCTGCAGATAAAGACCTGTCCTAAAAAGAAGCAAGAACGAACTAGACTTGGTAGCATACTCCTTTAATCCCACCCTTGGGAGACGGAGGCAGATGTCTTTGAGTTTGAAGCCATCCTGAATTCCATAGCAAGTCCCAGGTCTGTCAGTGCTATATGGTGAGATTCTCGCTCAGATGGCTGTGAAGTTAAGAGTTCTCTTGCAGAGGTACCCACTTCCATTCCCAGCACCCACATACTGGTGGCCTACAACTACCTCTAAGTTCAGCTCCCGTGGATCTGATGCCCTCTTCTGGCTTCTTGCCTTACTGCAGTGCCACAGATACCCACTTAAACATATATTTATACACATTTGAAAAAAATAAAACTTAAGTCAGGCTTGGTGGCACACGCCTTTCATCCTAGTAGTTGGAAGGTGAAGGCAAGCGTATCTCCGTGTTCAGGACCAGCCTGGTCTACAGAATGAGCTCCAGGCCAGCCAAGGCTACATAGTGAGACCCACTCTCCCAAAATAATAAAACCTTTTTAAAACACACAGTAACCAATACTCCCTGACTACCACACTCTAGAAGGCAGTTTCCTTGGACTCCACAGCAGGCCTGGCTCACATTGAACTTCATTTCTGTCTTGTGTTCTGCAGTTTTAGCCCCCTTTAAAGAAGAACCTCTGTTTCCCAAGGAGGCTATCACCTGCCTTCCTCCAGGGTTCCCACAACAACAGCAGGTGTGGTAGGGATGGGAGCTGGGTTCCTGACACTGACAGGCCGCTCAGGAAGGTCCCAGTAAAGCTCTTGAAACCTAAAAACAAACAAAAAAACAAACCAAAACAAAACAAAAAAAAACCCCACACTCGTAACAGAATAGCCGGTCTATGTTCTCATTACGATTGACCTAATCAAGACAGCTCCCTCATGCGCGTGGAGAGACAGCACCACTGCTCTTGGGGAGCACTTGGGGTCAACTTCAGCACTCACATGGTGTCTTGATAGACATTTGAAACTCCAGTTCCAGGGCGTTTAATGCCCCTTTTTGGCCTCCACTGGCACCAGGCACACATGTGGTTCATAAGGTACTTTGCAGTCAAAGCACCAGAAACATAATTATTTTTCAAAAAAAGAAATCCCTGCCAGGCATACCCAGACGCCCATCTTTCAGGTTATTCTAAATTCTGTCTGGTTGGCCATGAACGCTGTCCCATCAGATAAGAAAAAAGTGTACTTATAAAAGAGGCCCATTTTGTCTAAGCTGGGAAGATTCCAGACAGGTAATCTTGGAGCTAGGTCCCATAGCATCAGATGAGTTGAGCCATGGCTTGTTAGTGGTAGGATTGTAGGCCCAGCTTTGTACACCGAACAGGAATCTAAGACATTGACATGATCCAGACTAATGAACTACCACAGTGGCCCAAGTAGAAGAAAATGGTTGCTGGGACTGCTGGCACAGGATTCTACAGGACTTGACAAAATGAGAAAGTGGCTATATCAAATCTGGTGTCCTCACTTTAACAAATTGGTTTGGGCGGGGCGTTGTAGGGCACACCTTTAATCCCAGCACTCAGGAGGCAGATAGATTTCTGTGAGTTGGAGGCCAGCCTGGTCTACAATGAGAGTTCCAGAATAGCCAGGGCTACACAGGGGAACCCTGTCTTCAAAAACAAAAATATTCTGATTTGGACAGGGCCAGTTGAGAAAATAGGGCATCAGTAGCAGGGGTCAAGCTTCTTGCCCTTCCCACACCCAGTGCAGTGGCTTACATAGCACCATAAACACCTTCCTCGGGCTCTGGGGGGGAGGGGGGGACTGGCCAGTGCTCACTGTTTCAGTTGGCTGGCCTAGCACATCAGGACAACAGCAGGGCCCTGCAAGAACAGGTAGCAAGGCTTTTGGAACCTGTGTTCTGTTGGCCAAAGGCAGAGCCATGTAGCTAAGGGTGGGGCACAATAGGAGGGAGAGGGCTGCAGCCCACCAGCAGCTGCCCTGCAGCCAGGTGGCTCTGGAGCTGTCCCCATTGGACTCATGTTCTCAGCACTGGGGGTGGGGGGCACCTCTGAACAGCTGTCAGGGAGGTGGAGCCCTGGGAAACAGCAGCCAGGCAAGTGAAGAGGCCAGAGCAGCTAGCCACGTGGCTAGTCCAGGAATAGTTCACCACGTGGGGTCAGCTGCTCCTAGGTGTCAGGCTCCTGGGTTGCTAGAAGCAAGGTGGCCACTGGCTATCTATCCCATCCCCTTCTGCCCCTCACTTCTGAGAGCATATTGGCCACAGCATAGGGTCCAGTCTGAACATCTGTATTCAGCCCCAGAGCTGCCTGCCCTCACCCCGTCTCCAGTCTCTGCTCTTACTGTTGGGTGATTTTGGCTGAACTGACTAGGAAGTAGCAACTACCCTGGTTAGGTTGTATTGGAACTGAGGTCCAGCCCGGTCCCAGAGCCAAATGTATGTAGGTGATTAGTACACCTACTAGCCGCTGGCCCCAGAAGACAACCTCTCCTGCCAAGTTTCTCAGGTGGTGTCCCCCTCCCTCCTCTTTGGGCGGGAAAAGGAAAGGGATATAGTCAGGCCTGCACCATCCTAAGTATGAGATGGGAGAGTTTGTCTGGGAAGGTGAACTTCAGTCAGCGCAGAGAAGGGAGAAAAGATGGGCCTTTGTGTGGATGGCAGCTGGCAAGGTCTCAGCCGCACACTGCTCAGGGAGGCATGAAGACCTGTGAGCCTGTCACTGCTGTCTCAGAATAAGCCCTTCCGCACAGAACACTGTCTTCCAATATGAGGACGGGCACCCACCACAGCACCCAGTAAGCAACAGACAATGACTCTTCTACAAACCAGAGGCTGCAGCTCACTCAGGAGCTGACATTCCAATCAGAACCTGAGACTCCACAGTGCTTTCTGAGCAAGGGCCTCTCCCGACAGACAGTTGTGCGTGCGCGTGCGCATGCGTGCAGGAGGTTGGGACAGGAGTGGCCTTGCACAGTAAGGCAAGGTGTGGAGGGTGGGGAGTGGGAGGGGGATGTTAGGGAATGAGAGTTCCTTCTGCTGTAGGGAAGAGCTGGGTGACAAGACCTGGAGATGGCCACGTAGCAGTGGGCTGGGGAAGTTTCTGAGTGTAGAGAGGGAGGGGACATCAGGGTAGAGGATATCTGGGTGGTTTGGATTAATGAGGGTTCTGAGCAGGACCTGGGTGCTCAGAATCAGCACTGGCAGCCGGCCCTGCATCGTCACAGAAGCTTCTCTTTGCCCACAGGTTGCACATTCGTTGAGGAGAATTTTACTTTGAAGTGCCCCAAACATAAGGTAGGTGAACAGGCTTCCCGGGGAAAGCACTCCCTCCCCAACCCAGTTTCTCCCTGCCCCGCCAGAGGGGTCAGAGAGGGCACTAGGGCCCTAAGGCACTTCACCACAGCCCACTGAGTGTGCTGCTGGGCCTCGCTTGGAAGGGCTGGGGTGGGCAGTAGCGGTTGGCCTTGGGCATAATATGCTGTCCCTCCCACAGAGGCTGCCGTTGTAATCCCCATGTGGCCGAGCCTCCGAGGAAGAGGAGCTGCGCCCACAGCTGGTCCTTGATCCCACCCCGGGTCTTGGTTCCGGCTGCTTCGGGCGCTGGCGTGAGGCCCGGGTTGCAAAGAAAACCTGTTCCAGGCCAGACTTGGCGAGGGCAGGCCACCAGGCAGCCAGGCCCGGGGCGCACGGCTTCAGGCGGGATGCAAGTCCCCTGCAAGTTCTGAAATGACGTGGCATGCAAGCTGTGCCCCTGAGAAGAGGCCGAGGGTGCTGCTGGCTCGGTGGACGACATGGGGCAGGACCCAAGTCTTTCTGTAGAGGTCCAGCCAATGGGGGAATGCGACCCTGGCACCCAAGGCTTTGCCCAGAGTCGTGACAGACCTGGGCTCAGGCCGTGTGGTCCCTGATATGAGCTGGCCTGGGGCAGTGCCCTATGGCTTCTGTTTGTCCCCTTTCCAGTCTTCCACCCCACTGATGGAGCCCGGTCTGGAAGCTTGAGGAAATTGGGCCTGGCTACCCTCTAGGCAGATGTGCAGCCGTCCCTAAGCACCGCCATGGGTTCCAGGAACTGCCGCTGCTCGGCTCGTGGGCAGAGACAGTGCTAGACTTCATGTACAAACCTGTGTACCCCTCTATATATATGTTATATAGAATGTATATATGTTGGGAACATGCTCGCTTCTGTGTGTCGCTGCTGTGCGTCGTGTGCTCCACAGCACAGAGCCCTAACCTGGCCTTGGCCGGACTAGGGGCTACAGTGATGCCCCTTCCTTGTGCAACCACCATCACCGCCGCCACCACCACGGCCAGTCCCCACCTGTCCGTTTGTGTTCTCAGCTCTGTCCACGCTTCAATAGGCCTGATGCAGCCCCCCCCCGCAACTTCCTGTACATATGACTGTAAAATGGTAAACGTGTGTATTATATCTGGCCTCGTTATATAGTGTATATATATGTATACATATACATATATATAATATATATGAAGACTGTAAATGTTAAGACAACTAGTGTTCTTATTAGTATATTGCTTCACACTGAAGATTGTGTGTATCGAGCTGTTTCTAAAAGATGTTTATTTTCCTTAAGAGTAAAAAAAAAAAAACCAGTCATTGCATTCAGAAAAAAAAAAGTCAATAAAGATACCACGATTGTTTTGGAAGTTTGCGGCCTGTGGATCCAGACCACATTCCCTAGGGTTGGGAGTGGAGGGAAAGGGCCGGGGGACACAAACAGGGATCCCAGATTGTGCTCATTAGTAGACCTGTGTGGTCTCAGACTTCGCCAAGTGTACAGAGCTGACCAGGGAATTGTGTGTGACGCTCCAGACATAAAGGGAGATGGGAGCCTGGCCTTCAGGTGCTGGATCACCCCGGGATCTGGTGAGGGGCTGGGGCAAAGAGACAACTGAGACCATCAAGGCCTCTCAAGGTTGATAGAGCTAAAGTGTAGCCATGAGATCAGTGGGACAGCTTGGCCACCATCAGACCACCCCAAGGCAGAAGCCAGTAAACACACCCTTAGAGCTTCCCAGAAGACAATCCAGAAAGGATGGCAGTCAGATGACACCAACATCTGCTTACCCAGATAAAAAAAAAAAATGAGGTTATAAATAATTTCACTTTTAATTTTCTGTACAAAATCTTTCAACCTAGGAAAATAAAGTTTGCAAAAGTCAAGTAGTCCATGAGCCTGCACAGGGCGCCGGCTCAGTCGGATCTACGCCATGTACAGTCTGCCCGGAGGAGGGGAGAGCCTTGTACAGAGTGGCCCTCTGTTGGGGGAAAGGTTTCTCTCCATAGGACAGGGAAAAGCCACTAAGGTGCCTACAGAGCAAGAGGGTGGCACTGGGCCAGTGCAGCCTCTGCAGTTTCTAGATCTGCCACTAGAGGTCGGCATGCTCCTGATTGCTTGTCAGGCTCACCCTCTCTCAAAGACCACAACCAGTGACAAATGTCCTTAAGGGTCTCTAAGACTGGGGAAACCATCCAAGGTCTAGCTGGAAGTGACAGTAGTCCCTCCGCCCAGGCGCAGGAGCATCTGCTGGCAGTCGAGCAGTAGCCGATGGTCACCAAGCTTCTCTACAGTGCGTGCAGCTTCAGCCAGCATGCTCACACGCTGTCCGGGGGCTGACAGGAAGGCAGGTGGCAGATAGCAGGAGGCCAGCAGTAAAGCCTCTGTATGCTCCCGCCATGTGGGTCGAGGCTCCAGCTCAGCTGCAGCACCTGCACAGATGGGTCATGTCAGGGGAGCAAGGCTTAGGTCTGGCTAAGGCCAGACCCCATGCAAAGGACAAAGTATCTGACTTCTTGTACAGGGAACTCCTAAGCTCTCCACTCATGCTGGGCACACAGGTGGGCTCAGCTTCTTCCTATGACTATCTCACAAACTGTCACCCCCACTGATTTCCATAACGCAGCCCCCAGTATTCCTCATACCAGGCTAAGGCAGAACCCCCTGCCCTGCAAGTGTAAGCACAGCCACCTCCTCACCTCCTTTGCCACTGGAGCCCGCCCGCCTCCGCAGACTGCGATCCAGGAGCTGGTGTGTCCGTGCAGGACTTGCCCCTGCCATCAGCCGAGCTGTGGCCTCATGGAGAAACACCTAGGGAGTGGATAATGGCCAGTTTCAGACTTAGTGCCCACTTCTCCCCCGGCTTCCTGCCTCATGCCTCCCAGTGGGAGGTGAAACAATGGACTTACCCTCCTCATAGCAGGCCGGAAGCTCTGTGCCAAGCGCCTCAGGCTGCTCAGGTCCTGTTGGAAACCGCGCAGCTCCAGCGCAGAAGCCTGGGGTCCGTTGCTGGCACTGTGAACCACCTGGGCTGAGGCTGGTGACTGCTGACGCTGCCACAGGCTAGTGCGGGCCACAAGCAGCAGATCACACAGGAGCAGCTGCATGGCCTGGGGTGGCAGGCAAGGCAGACATCACTGGCAGCTCCAGCACTGGGAAGGGCAGAGAGCCCGCAGCACCAGGGGCTGACTGGGCTGTGCTGCTGCGGCCCTGCCACCGCCTCACGTACAAGGCGACATCAATTCACCATGGGTCTACCTTCTCCGTACCACATGCCTGCAAGCCCTCGGACTTCCCAACAATGGCCCCCAACTGCCAGTCTGCTCACCACACCCTCCTTCCTGGTGGTGGGTGAATGGTGAGCCCATTCTCCCCAGGACTTTAGCCTTCTTCAAACACTAAGGTAAGCCCATTCAGCACCATTTTGTATTAACTCCAAAAACACTAGGAATGGAGAGCTGTGACCCTGGCCTAGCCAGGTATCCATCCTACCCCTCACCTTGTCAATGGAGTTGGCAGATGGTGTAGTGGCTAAGCTGTCCCTTAAGTACCCACTGGCCTTCTCACAGATGGCTAGGCTGGCTGAGCCAGATTCCACCTTTCTGTGGTCCAGCAGAGCCCGGGCAGCCTTGAAGGAGTACAGAGCTGCCCTGGGCAGGGGTCTCCTATTGGGGTAAAAGCAGAAACACATGGTAGGTTAGCCCAGGCTACAGCCCCTCCCTGAGCCCTTTCACCCTGGTTCTAGTCTCTGGGGCAGAGAGTACATTGTTCGTCCCATATAGATATTTAAGCAAAGTACTGAGGGCCCAAAATGGGGTGAGGAGGACCTGGCGGGGCACTCACTCAGTCTCCTGCAGCGCTTGAGGCATGTGCTCCACCAGCGGGTAGAGGCGCTCAGCTGCCTCTTCATCCCGCCGCAGCCAATGGATCACCACTGCTGTCAGGGAGGCCCACCACTTGGCCACTGGGTCTGTGCCTACACAAGAGGGAAAGGTGTCTGACCCTCAGCCACACTGCATTGGGCCTGGCAGGAGTCAGGACGGGGCTGGATCTCACCAGTGGTGGAAGCCATGCTGGAGCTGACAGAGAAGCTGCAGGCAGGTGCCCCGACAGCATCAGAACAGCTGTTCAGCAACTGCAGGTATCCAAGTGCGTCTGAAAACTCCCTGAGGCAGGAGAGAGCTGTCAGGACAGACAGCAGTAGTCCAGAGTTCCGAATGACACTGGCTTTCCCTAACTGCCCATTAGAGCATAGTCTGACCCTGTCACGGCTCACAGAGGAAAGAAAGAGCTAGAGAGGCTCTGAGGACACACACAGTCGGGCTACCGAACAACCTGGACAACCTTTGCCCAGGCTCCCTGTTGGAGGTCTTGCCTGAGAGGTACAGAAAGCTCACCTGTCTCCATCAGCTGCTCCTGGACTGGGCTGAGCAATACAGCTCAGTGCTCGCTCCAGGAGATGTTCACAGAATAGCCGGGTCACCTGAGCCAGCGGATCCACTGTGGGTGGGGGCCAATGGAGCAGAGGTTAGACATCCTTCTCTCCATAGTTCCCTTCCCACATCAACGCCTTCATTGGCGGGGGCCCCAACCCAGAGCACTTCCTAGTTCCAAGTCCTAAACGACATGTAGACATCGACAGGTAAGTACCCTTGCCCTCCGAAGCCTGGGCTACTCAGCCTCTGCCCTCGGAAGGAAAGTGGGCCAGCTGTGCCAGGGCCCCACACTGGAAAGGGGAGTCTACTGAATCACATACCCACTGGCCCTGACCCTCCTGGGCACTCTTCCTCTCAAGTCCACCCACTGCCCACTGACCCATGCTGCTTCCTGCTTCTGAAGCCCAGGAAGTCTTCCCACAGCTCCAGCCACAGCCCGATCAGCTGGCTGGGTGAGGGCATTCAGAGATGAGGGGACAATGCCAGGTGAGGCGGAAGAACAGAAGGAGAGAGCACCTGGGTTCCCAGCCACGCTGTACAGGCTCTCCTGTGGGGCACCATGCACAGCCCAGTCCCCATCCACGAAGAAACGGTGGCCTACAGGGTGGCAGAGCCACTGCATGGCAAGAGGCACTGAGCCACTCTGTGCCAGGCAGGCCCGGCGGGCGCTACTCAGGAAGAAACGCTGTGGGGAGAGGAACAGGACTGTGACAGTGGCTCCAAGTTCAAACCCAGCCCTGAGCTGGAGACCCCAGCTGGGCCAGCAGCCCACCTGCTAACCACTGATACATTTGGGTCAGTCCCTTGCCCTGGAAGGGGCAGGTGAGAGGTGAAGACAAGCCCCCCAGCCCTGTCCCCTAAGCCTACTTACTGTCAAAAAGTGCAAAGCTCTTGGGAAACTGGTCTTGACCCTGAGGGCAGCAGCCACATAGATCTCCGCCAGTGTTGCCATGGATACAGCATCTCCTGCGCACTCGGCCAAGTTCAGGGCACTCAGTGCCAGGTTAGAAGCAGCAAGGTGCCCTCCTGTGTATTTCCCTGCAAACAGGCAAGAGTGAGAACAGGAGGTGATGGGGTGGGTAGGACCCAGCCATACCCATGGCGTGAGGACAGGTGATGGGGTGGGTAGGACCCAGCCATACTCATGGCGCGAGGAAAGGTGATGGGGTGGGTAGGATCCCAGCCCAGCTCCCACCTAGCATACCCATGGCATGCAGCTGGTGCAGCTTATGGTAGACGAGCGCTGCATCTCGGGCACTGGCACGAGCATCCATCCTCAGCCCATAGTCTCTCCACAGGCCCCCAGCCTGGCCTGCCAGCCAGCGGCCCACCCAGAGACGCTGCAGCAGGTGGCGGATGAGGTTCCAAAGTAGGCTGCAGGCCAGGTCCAGGTTTGAGGTGGGCAGAGGCCGTCCTAAGGCCTGCAGGGCCAGCCACAGCTGCTGAGCAGCCTGGGCAAAATCTCCCTGGAGAAAGGGTTGTCTCAGTAAGAAAATAACAACAGGGCATCTCCCTATCTGGGACCCTGGAGTCGAGTTCTGAAGGTGGGGTGGGGCAGGACAAAGCACGGACAAAATAAAGGGAATAGGTAGGGGCACCTAGTACCTTTCGGGCCTGGGGGCCTACCCTACTCCTCTCCAGGGCCAATCCCTTACCCGGGCCAAGTCCAGGTCAGCTTGTTTGCGATGTCTCCAAAAGTGAACAGCTGGGCCACTGTGGGGCCGGGTCACAGGTTCCCCATAGACAAAAAGAAGAGCCAAGCAGGCCAACACCAGTAGTCCATTGGCCAGCCAGACTAGGGGTGGCAGCAACCACTGGGTCCAATTAGAGCCATCTATAGACAAAGGGAACGCCTGAGGGTCTAACTCCTAGGACGTCCAAAGTCCCAAAGGTTTGTCTCAACAATGAGGAGGCTGGCCTGACTTACCTCTGC